AACAAGTTAAAGAGATGTCAAATGATATTTGCAATTTTATATTCGTGATACTGTATGCTATGCGTTGGAATATATTATATGTTTCTCAATAGAGTTTTAAACTTCAGCCACAGCTTATTATGGTAGATGTTAAACAAAACAAAAGTGTGAACAAAAATTTGTTGGTTAGTGCTTTATTTGCACAGTTATTATACCTTAAGCCGAGGTTGTCCAACGCATAGCTTCCAGGCCTTTTGCAGCCCGCGGCTAATATTTGTACGACCAGCGACAGGTTGCTAATCTATCAGTATTAAGCAAATTCTTTTTTGTTGTATTTTGATTAAATCACAATTTCTTCATATTTATGGTATCCCAATTAAAAGGATAACAATGTTTTAAATAATGTAATACACTTCATGTTAATTAACTTAATTGCCAAAGACTTTAGTATATATTTCTTTATGCAACGGTTCGAAAAAACAGTGCCATAAGCCTAAAATAAAATATTTTTTGTTTGATAATAACTAAAATGAATAGAGTTAATATTAATAGAATTGTAAAAGATAAATTAATGAAGAATTAGTAAAACTAAATTTAATGTTATCGTCGTATTTTTATTTTTCTCCGGAAAAATTAAGAACGTATGTAATTTTTTCTGTGACCCTCCAACCTATTCAGTGATTTGTATTAACCCGCGATCTTATATTGGCTGGACAGCCCGGCCTTAAACAGACAATCAGTCGTTTCTTTATAAATATTTAAATATATTAAGGATTAATAATTCTTCACACGTATCGGTTTACTTTGAATTAAATTTTTTTTTTTTCTGAAATCATCCTTTATTGGATATGAATAGTACAATCTTAACAATTTGTAAATTTATTACTTTTGCTGAATTGTACTTAATAGATATTAAGCAATACGTGTACAGGTTTACTGAACCAGTGTTGAGCTCCTATAATGAATTAAATAAAGAAACTTCTTATCTATTGGAGAACTTATAGTAGTGTCGCCGTGAGTTGAAATTTGGTATGTATTTCAAGCCACGTATTAATCATAACTTCTAAGAACAGAAACATATTGTTGCAGAATACTAATGTATATCTTAATATTTAATAAGATAATAATAAGATATAATAAATTAATATGTCTTCTATTTTCGCTTAAATTAATGACAAATTAAAATATTAAATAAAGGGCGAACTTTAGTTCCTATCACGTAAAGTTAATATTTGCTTTGTTAAATAATAGGTCTGTCCCACGAACTACGCGTAGTAACTTTGAGTAACAATGTGTATACACAAGTGCGTTCCACCCACGGTTGCCACTTATGGTACTTTAGTACCAAAATTGGTACTTTTTTTTCGTTTGGTACTCATATTCAAAAAATTTTTTTACAGAAATGGTACCTTTTTAAACCAATTTTGGTACAGGAAAAAATTTTCAAGTGGCAACCGTGGTTCCACCAGCAAAGTTTCGAGTAAATGAGAGCATCTGAGAGAGCGTAACATCCCTGTCGAAATTTAAAAATGCTACTCAGGGTTTACTCGTACATTTTATTACAAGTAAAATTTGAGTGATGGGTGAATCAGCTGTTGTGGTTTGAATTCAAATTTTCTTATGGTTTATTTGCGCGGCACTGGTGTTCTCACCAGACTTTACACAGAGCTGTTCCATGAAAATCTGTGTAAAGAGCGTAATTTAGCACTTTATTTTTGTTACGCTCTCAGTTTGTACTCTACTTGTGTTTTACTTGAATTTTACTACGAGTAACTCGTGAAACAGACCTAATATTAAGACTATAGTCGATGTGGTTCTTTTGATGTAAAACTAGATTAATAGTAATATCAGATTTAATAGAAAATAGTGTTAAATTCAAATCATTTGAGTAGTTATTACTATCTGAGGTAAGCTAATTGTGAAATATAAACATAATATTTGATGACATGGCGGCACAAGTTAAACTCTCCTATTATTGAATTATCGATGGTTTTTCTCGAAATATTAAATGAGTATCGTTAGTTATTGCCAAAAAAAAAAAAATTAATGAATTAAAACGTGCTCTAGTAAACAAATTCAATATGTCTAGCTTCCAATAACAAATTGTGTTGCATATTCACATTCCTTAAAAATAATTTGCAAAAATATTATTTAAGTACAATAAAATATACAAAATAGTGTTTTAAAAGATTTTTTAAAAGATATGTTAAGACTACATTTGTGAAAGAGACAAGTTTAGGTTTTTGTTATATAAGGATGGATTTGGGGAAACAAAATGCAAAAAATTAAATAATAAAAATATTAATACAAAATTAAAACAATAAAAAAAAGTGGTAGAAATGATTTAGATTTTTTAGATATGTGTAATTTTGCATCGGTTGAACAACATATGCTCCTATAAGAATACAGCCCAAACCTTGACTGACAGCATTTGTTGTTGGTGCCATTATAGTTGATGAAGTACTGTTTAAAATGGGTGTGGCAAAATGTTCATTCCGCGTTCTAACGCTAACATTGTTCCATCTTAAGACAGATACGGACGGTTTACGATCAACTAAGGGCTGTGGTGCATCCACTTCATGAGGTAAAGGTGGCAGTGGAAGGGATGTTGCGGTAGTCGATAATTGTGTGCAAGCACCAGAGAAAGCACTACATCGTTCTGCAATGAGTTCTATTGTAAAGGATTCTTTCTTTTTTTGAATTTTGTTTTTATTAAAATTTTATATTCGCTTTGGTGTAATTTTTAATGAGTTTTATTAAAAAAACAGTGCTTTTTGCAGAAAACTAGACACATTTTATTTTTCTTTCATTATCATTATTATTATTATTTTTATTATTATTATTATTAATTTATTTTAGTTCAATTTTCTTTTATGAAGAGAAACAAGTTGTTATTGCTGATGCAGTCAATTGTAGCAAAGGTGTCAATTGCATTTAAAATTCATAAAAATGTGTGTGATTCCGATATAGAAGCGTTAGAGTATCAAAAAGCAGTTACTAGAAAAGTCAACATAATGCGCTGAGGGGTTGCAACTTACTTTGACTTCCAAACAAGCTTTGAAAAACGTAATGATGTTCAGTAAGCCAAGCCAACTGAAAACCAAAAATCAGATATGCTTGCAATCACGAAAGTTATTAGTAATCGATAATTGTTCAGTTAGATTGATAATGCATGAAAACAACGAGAAATGATCGAAAAGTACATGATTGAGAGTAAAAGGGTTAAAGTGTATTAATGTATTTATCTCGCTTACACAACATTACTCTAATACTTGTTAAAATGTTAAATAGGCTTAAGCGCTTGTACAAAATAAATAAATATATATGCGAAAAACTAATTTGCTTAAAAATCTATACTAAAAATGTATAACAATCCTTATCAGATTTGTTTTTTAATAATATACTTCTATAAAATATTTTAAAACGTAGTTAATTTTTGACTACGAAATAATAAAGAGAACACAAGTTAAAGAAAAAAATTTTTGGTCGCACTTAAAGTAAAACCAATTTTCTTAACTAAAAATATATTTAGTGGAAATTACTAAATTTATTGATAGTGATGTTTTAGTATTTTTTTTAATTGAAAAACAAAAGTAATATTTAAGTTTTCCAAAGAAAAAGTAAAGCTTGTTTTACATTAAACTAAAAAGCTTTACTCTTCTCACTATAAGAGTGAGAAGAACTTTTACATTAAACAGTATATAGTGACAATAAATATTACAACAATGAATACGTCATCGCATTTTGCAATTTGCATATTGAAGAAACATTTTAAATTTAAATATTTAAAAAAAAAGTCATGTAGAGTCCCAACCAGTAAAAAATTTTTGGACACTAATTTTTAAGGTTTTTAATTGAAAACTGTTCGATCTTTAAACAGTTTGTTTAATACTAAATTCACACAAGAGTTTTGCCTGTAATTTTAGTTGTCAATTCTTGTTGTTTTCAATACAAAATTAAAATTTTTGACAACCTAAATTACAAACAAAACTCTTGTGTGAAAACTTTTTAATAATTTTTTGCTAATAAAACTTTCACGACAAATTATTAAAACACCAGAAAAATGTGCGCACATAAAAGTTAAGTTTGGCTTTGGGCCAGTTGGTTAAGGAGCACTGACTCTAAGCTTCAAATTTGGCAGGGCACGAGTTCGATTCCTGGTACTTACAGTCTCAAAAAATTATTTACGTATAATTAAATACAAGAATTATTTCTAAGGTCACTGATCATGGGTATTTGGCAATACTCAAAACAAAAATTCAATTAATTAAAATAATATAAAAAAGAATTTTTGTTGTTGTACTTTACTACATTTCAAAAACCTCTTAATAAATTTTTTATGAAAAAAAAATGCTTTGCAGTTTTTTTGTGGAGTGTTTTGTTCAATCCAAATTTTAAATAGCAAAGTAGTAAAAAGTAAGAAAGTAGTAAGAAAGAGATATTTAAGAATCTGAAATAGATCTTATGCAAACTTAATAATTGACATTTTAAACTTTAATGTATAAATCCAATTACTGGTGCCCTCATTTGGCTTCTTCTAAGGTTTATAGTTCGTATAAATAAGCTTTGTAACATTCATCGGTTTGTTAATTTATAACATATTCATAAGAACAGAAATAATATCTATAATTATTATTAAATATAATTGTTAAGCTTATTTATTAATAAGCGTATTTTTATGATTATAAACAATGTCTTGTAAGTTTTCGAGGAGCACAGGCCCCTTATTTATTACAATTTTGCGCTAGTGTTCTAATGAAAGTCTTATACCACGGTATCTTAATATTTTAATCTAAAACATCATGTGCAATTTAGTTTGTGTTGTTTTTGATTGATTTAACTATAGAGAACAATATTTCTCTATATATTTTATATATATATTATACTTGTATTCCAATAAACTATAAAATATTCCATTGTAAAATTATGAAATATTTAATATAGCAACCATCTTTTTTAAAAAAAAAATAAATTTGAAAGTTACATCAATTTTTTTTTATTTTGATTAAAAATATCTACTGGATAGTATACCATTCTGAAATATATTTGAATTACTTTCAAAATTGTTTAAAATTAATTATTTTAACACAATATTTTAGTGCTTAGAATTATGACAACGTCTTCTGGGTCTGCGTATAGTCTCAGCTTGTCCCCTGAGTGTGCTTCAAATGCGTCTAGTGACTCCAGACGTAGTATCAGGTGCGTATTAATGTAACTTGCTACATAAGTTAGCTTATTTCAATTATTGAAAAATATAATCAAATTAGATCGAATAAGCTGTGTTGATGAAGTTTATTTTTTTTTAACTAACAGGAGTTCGAAAAACATTTCCGAACTCCTTGACCTCATTATGCAGATGGTCATACGACGTATGGCCATAGAAGTTGTATTTTTTTTTCGCTCATACCCATTTATCCATGTTATGCTGAGAGTCAATTTTGTACTTTTATGTGCAAAATCCGAAATTTATTGTTTAGAGTAACTGTTTTGGGAAGCGTATCGTGGTATTGAAAGGCTCGCTTTAATAAAATTTTTCTCATGGTTTCATTTTTAAATGCTCAATTTACTTTGAAAACAACAATTATATCACATATAATGTGAACATGATTGTGTGCATAATACGGCCCTAAACGGGTGTTCTTTAGTATACGACTTGAACACCCATGTTCTTTAGTATACGACATGAACACCCATGAAGTAAACTTTTAGGATACGTGACAGTAATCTAACTAACAGTAAGTTTCTAGCAATATTAACGTCATGTTGCGAATGTAATAAGTACTTTAGGCTCCATTTCTGAGGTGGATTCAATGTTAGATGAGTAAATTGCAATAAACAGATCTGCTTTTATTGCTTTGTAGGTACATCAATTCTGCTGCTTATATTGAGAAAAATGTGGATGACAGTAGCATGGAATTTAGTGATCATTACATGAGGTCTTCGCAATCTCAAGATCTATTGGAGGAACGGAGTGATATTGTGCCGCCCCTGGACTTGCAGTCTATTGATGGTATATCAGCTCACGAACCCGGTTACACTTATCAACGTTATTATGAGATATTACCTTTGCGCGCTGATCCAGATCTGGCATTTAAAACATGGCTATCAGCTAAAAAGTAAAATATTAAAATAATTTTGTTTATTCAACTGTACTATTTATTCTTTCTATTTAAGGAAGATAAAGTCTGAGGAGGAAGCCCGACGGAAGAGAGAAGAGGATAATAAGAAAGAAAATGAGGAACTTCGTAAACGTGAATCTGAGTTACGTTTTCAAATGTGGCTACAGGAAAAGTCACGCAAGAAGTCTGAGGAGAAATTAAATAAGAAAACCCCTTCTAATACCTCCTCTACAATTAAAACTAAAGCTGCTGTCGATCCTGAGAAAACAAAAGTCAAACTCTTACAGTGGGAAGAGAACAAACGTATTCAATATGAAAAGAAACGTAAGGAGCAACTTGATATTGATAGACGTAAACGTGAAGCGGAATCCCTACGTCAGGAAAATGCAACACGAGCTTGGGAAGAATGGTTGAAAAAAGCTCCCAAGAAACCTAAGCCAGTTCCACTTAACAGAGGATTGCAAACTTTGCAAGGAACTGTTTCGGAGTTATACGTGAATCCAATTCAATGGCAAGACTAAGTTAAACTTTTACGTTACTATAACCAATGTTGTTTTGAAATGATGACTATGAGAAACAAAATGCAATACATACCCGTATATACAAAAAAAATTATATATTTTTAAATTATTTTTTTGTCGAGAAATACATTGGTAAAATGTTATTATTACTTCAAATGCATCTTTTAATCATAAAAAATCTGCCTGAATTTTTCCTTTAATTATGTATTGTATATATATAAGATACATAACATGTGCGCCAACTTCAGTGGGCTTTTTGAAATTGCAGTATATTCATTGGCATCAGAATAACATGTAGTATGGATAACAAGTAATTATCGAATACTACAACTTGATAATCTTATTGTTGCATTTTATCAGACTACGAATATAGATCAATAACTTCCATTGCATCCATAAGTAAAAAAGATGGTGTTTTATTTAAAACTTCTTTGTTGCTTACGATAGCGTAATCAAGAAGTGCAGAGATTTTCAACCCTATAGCTGTGGCGATAAAATCACCTAACGAGTCCGTAAACTACCGAATTTTCTTACATGCTTTCATAAACATTTATATGTTCGAATCTTTCATTGAATACTCATACATAGTATATGAATCACATATTTATAATATAATACATACAATAGTTAATAGGTGCATTTACCATAAAATCAAATGTATATGTTATACGTATATGTTATATGCTTTAAATTAATTTATTCGAGAAAACCTGATTTGTTTTGTTAACTTATATTTCCTATATAATATATATTTAATTTTAATTAGTACGGTTATTTTTGTTTTTGTCTTTAAGGGTGATAGGGATAACTCGAAATAAAAGTTAAAATTCTTAAAAAAATAAGCGACTTTACTTTAAAATAGTTTCGACGTAACTCAAAAATTAAAAAAAAATATTTATTTGATATCATCAATCATCCGCTTAACTCACATTTTTTTTCGTATTAGAACCCATAAACTTATGTTTTATGTTTATAAATTCAAAAGTCCAAAAATTTTCTAAATGAAACCGAATAATGGTATAAAATTATAAAGTAGTTAACTTTCGTTATCCATTTCTACCAGCTCTCATCTACAAAATCTGTAAGTTCTGTTTAACTATTAAAAATAAAAGCTGTAATTTTTTAAACCATAAAATATACTTATTTCCTATCTTCCTCTAGGTTTTATCAAATCAAACGAGTTCTAGCAACTTACCCCCAAGTAAGTTTAGACGACTTCTTCTAGAGACAGCATTTCTAATAATAATGCCACCTAACAATATTGACGAAATTAACAAAGTTAATATTTATAAACAGTATTTTTTTATTAAGAGTTTATAAGCAAAATTTTTCGCATATAAATAGCGCTTCGTTAGCTGAAGTTGTTAATACAATTTACTTATGAAGTTAACAGATGAGATATCGGAAGCAATTTATAGAATAGAATAGCCTACCTTCGCCCATATCGTAACCTGAACGGTTCGGTGAAAAGAATAAATGAGTTCGATAGTGTATGTCATCGGTTTGAGTGGAGAGGCCCAAATCTCTAGAACGCTTTGTACGATTAGCTTTTGATTGCAGCTTACCACCGCCGCCACCGGATTTACCACCACCTCCCTCGCGAAAATTCTTACGAAACATTAAATTCATGATGATATGAAGTTCGTGAACTTTTCACGTTTATGTTAAATGGTGAAATTAGTTCAAATATGTTGGTTTGTTGTTGTTGTTGTTGTTGTTATTGTAGCTGTTGTATGTGTGTTGATGAACGTAAATGATTCCGCCAATTTTAGTTGGTGTCGTATACCAAGTTAATTTCCGACACGGATTAGCGAAATTTTTTGTTAATTATGAGTTTGTGTTATAGTTATCGTAGAGTTATTTTTGAAAATCCGATATTTGTATTTTAATATTTAATTTTGCTGAGTTTAAAAATAAATTCAGTAATAAAACACAAAATAAATTTTATTTCAAACAAGTGGCTTTTTGTTGTCCATTAATTTTTCATATTTAAAAATATTCAATAAATCAAAACACAAGAAATAAACACTTAAAATCCTGGAGAGAATATTACATTATTCTTGATTAAATTTAAAAGCAATTTTTAAATTCTTGAAATTCTTGAATATAATACTTCACATAAATCAGGATTCAGCATAAATTGCACAATCGAGTCATACCATAAATGCAATGAGTACATACCGACAATTAAACCATAAATTTTATTTAAAACGACAGATAAGGAAGAAAATGAAGCTGCAAATCCACAATTCAATCAGTGAAGTAATTTTATCGTAAGGGATAGAGAGTTACCCGGTATAGCACAAAGAAAATAGCAAAGTAGTATTCGTTGATAAAGAGTGCATAAGTAGAATTTTTGAGGAACACTGGACATCTAAGAAAAAATCAACATGTTGTACAGCTTATTATAGCATATTGACAAAAACACAGTGGGAAATCGGTAACTTAAGTGATTTATTCATATAAAAAAAGATATTAGGTCAAAGATTTTCCATGGCTTACGATAGAAAATAATATAGAGATCTTTTTTAAAGTCAAGTTAAGCATAAATAGCAGACCTATGCAAGTTTACGTACATATTAATTAATGATTTATATTAAACTCATTGAGCCAAGAAGAATCATAAATTAAAATAGAATAGAATAAATTTCAAAAAAAATATTAAAATTATTTTTTAAAATTTATTTTAACTAACCGTTTTTTATTAGTGCTTAAATATAAACAATCTTAATTGTTTATAGTATTTCATTAAAGTTCAAACAATTATCTTTAAAATGCAACAAATTTCAAGTTTATATCATTTATATAGTCTGAGATGTGGCCATTTGAAAATGTGTCTACAATGCCAATTCTCAAAACCCCATGAATCCATATCTCCTCGGAAAAAAATTACAAAATTTTGTCTCGAGATTCGGATCTTCTTATTTTATGAAAGAAGCTCATAAAAAAATTTGAGCCAAATCAAAAATTATGCCAAAATCAGTTCGGTTTGTTAAAGAAAGATCCATATATAAGAACAATCGCTCAATTATACATGCATTTTTATCAGTGTATTTAAAACTGAACTGATATAATTGATATAAACATAAATATAATAATAATGAAAAAAAAATCAACTACTCCTATATATTTCCTTTAACAGCTCCTTGCTCTTTGATTGCAGTTCACCACGTGTTGGTTATAACTGCCGGTAATAACTTCACTTATTTCAATCGTTATTTAGTATTAAGCATGTGCGTGTCTGCAAGCATAAAAACTAACCGGAAAAGGAAATGGCGAATTTCCGTATTTAAACTTGTAATCAAGAGTGAAAATAACTTCGAAACTACTTAGAGCAGTAATTATTTTTGATTTTATGTACGTTTTAAGTGGTGTCAATTTTCTTCGCAATACAAATTTCTTTTGCCTTAAAAGAAATAACGGCATTATTATACAAGTAATAACTAAAAGGAAATCGTAATTTAAAAAAAAAACTTAAGTTTAAGATTTGTTTTGAAGTAAATAACGTATTGAGAATTCTTGATATTAAATTATGCTCTTGAATACTTTAGGAGGCGATACAATTTTGAGTACACAATGTCTCAGCTAAGCCCATTTGTGTAATAAAAACAATTTTAAATATTTCTTAATTAAATAGAATTGAATTTAAATAACTCACAGACTTCTTTACTGAACACGTTTCTGTTAACTATCCTCTTTCGAGAATCGAATTAAAGAACATAGACACCGACAAATTTTAAAATATTTTGTCTTATTTACGCGACCTTGTCATTATCTAGAAACTTTTCAGTATACACAGTAGAGGAAATGAAGTTTGGCGTCTTAAACCAATAGCTATTTTAAAAATATCAATAGGTCTTATATGCCCAAGTTAGCTTAGAAGATTTCATTCAGCAATACCATAAAAGCTCTCATAGGTAGCAGTGCATTTATGGCCTTTTAATAATGATATAGGTAGGAAAAATATAAAAAATTGTTAAAATTGTGTTATGTATTTCTTTAAAGTTTATAATCCGAATATTAATTCACTACTAAGTTTTATAAGATAAAAACATCTAGTGTATGCGTTTATTTAAAATATCGCTTTGGAAATTGAGAAATTGAGTAGAGCTATTAAGTTCTTGTTTCTCAAGTAACTATTTGTCAAATGTAATTCTCTACAGCTTCTATGTCTATATTCTATACATGTATTAGAAGTATAATTGTGCTCATGATTTAATGTAACATTATATCAAAGTAGATCTAAAGACATACCTTATAGATATTAATTTTTGTGAACAGCTCCATTCATAACAAATAAATACTTTTCATAAATACATACTTTTAAAATATTCCTTTCAATTTTGAATACTTTTTTTGTATCTCGATTTACGCCTAAAAGTAGTTCATGACCATGTATTTAATTTACAGAATATTATATATTCACAGTTATTTAACTGTGGAAGTATATATTTACACAAACACTAATAATAGAAAGTACTTATCAAAATCTTATGCCTTTTGTCCGTAGTATTTACTCTTCTTGTGTTTTCATCAATTCTTCATTTTGTGCCAACCACATATGTTTGGAATTTGGAAAGAAATATTAGGTTATGCTCCACTCAAAGGATTAGTCCCAATCAAGAATACAAACTCATTCATAAAAACTATTGACCTCGAATATAATCTTATCAAAAATGCAAATATACGAATATGCAGTATGTGAACAAGTACTTTAAAGATATTAATTAAAAAAGAAAATATCAAAATAATGACAGATTTATTATTGAAAAAATAAAAACATTGGGTTTTGTTAAGTAAAAAGTTTTATTTTATTATACAGTATGCGGTAATATGTTTAGTAGATTTCTGTTTCCTAAGTGTTTTGATATTTACCTTTTTCCTAATATGATGGATTATTTTTTTTTATTAAATGTAATCCATTAAGTAATATACAATTGAATAATACTTTACCAATTTTAAAGTGTTCTTAACATGTTTTATTATTGTGAGCTTATATACACTTTTATATGTCAATGGCATAGAATTTAAAAGATAAAGTGTCAACTGAAAAATATAGTATAAAATAGTACTAAAAACATAGAATCAATAATGTTTATAAAAATCGTCAGTATATTAA